AAACTATTTACCTTATTCAAAAAAATAAGCTTACATATGGTTTTAGCTCGCACCTAATCCTATATTTACATTTTTAAATTATGCCTAAATGCTATGATTGAGGAAATCCATTTTTCAAAATCGGCTTAGCTTGTGCCATGGAAACGTAGCCACTGACGTCATTTCCAGGCTCCAGCTGACCTATGGAAGCGAGGAAAAAAAAACAATGCACGTAATAAATGAATTTGGAACATTTTGTGTGGTGTCATGATTTGTTGCTTTTTTTTCACAACGGCCTAAAGCCTGAAACAGACTCTTTCCGCAGTCAGGAAATCGCATCGAGAGCCTATTCAAATGGACATTTGAATAGGCTACAAATACATGGAAGCTAAACAAATACATGGAAGCACGCTCGCATCAATCGCACGCACATCCCGCATGCGATTGATGCGGGCAGAATTATAATGTATTTGAATAGGCTCTTGCATGCGATGTCCTGAATGCGAAAAGATTCTGTTTCAGCCATTAATTCCACTGGGACCTGAAAATGTCCAGCAAAACGGGCACGCACTCCACCGCCGTTCAGTAGGAACGGCACAAGTGGGTGAATTGGGAGTATGGGACAGTTCGAAACATTATGTTCGTGAGGAACATTAAGTTCAGGAAGACGTTTTAGGTAGCTCCAAGGAGCTTACCGTCAAACATGACCTTAAAACGGTCCATTGAGCGTGTGTGCATTCCATTGAAGAGGCAATCCCCAGGAAGGAAAAATGCAGCGAATCAGACGCCACCAGGGTCACAAGGGTATCGTGATCAATCGACCTGTCCTGCCCACACTACTGGTTTTGAGGCGTCGCTATAGCAGAGATAACAAGGAGACAGCCGAAGAACCTGACAGAGCTGAAAATGGCATTGGGAGCCTTTGCGGCTCGCCTAACGAATCAGGAAGTCCTTCGTGCTGTCCGACACATGCTCAGTACGACTGATGCGTTTCGGCAAGAAAGGAGAGACAACTTCGAGCACAATAACAAGCAAAAAGATAATCATGTATACAGCGTGTCCCAGAATTGACCGAACACTGTTATTCAGTGCATAAGATAAGGAAAAAATAATTGCACTTTTTTTCTTTTTATCGTCCGATATATCCAGTAAGGGTAGCTTCGAAATGGCACATGCAATAGACACGCTAGCTACAACATTAGCCGACAATTGTAGCTAAATGCCAGACGATGCTTCAGTCGTTTTACGGGTCTCCCGAAACTGGTTGTAAGACGGTTTTCATTGACCTCTTGCCGGTGGATACTTTAAATATTTTCGATTAACCCGCGCCCCACTGGGGTCTGCGTATAACACGCCCTACTGGGGGGGGGGGGCTCTCCATAGCCCCCCCTCCTAACTCCGAAACTACTGGGCCGATCGTCAAAATTAAAACGGCGTCTGATAGCCCCGGAAAAACTGTCGAGCGAAATATAATTTCATTGACCTCGAAGTCACCGATGACGTCACAGGTCAGGTCAAAGTAAAAATTATTAGCATTTTGGCTTGTTCACATTTTGGGCTCTGGCCGCCGTCTTACAAGTCAGATCAGGCTCATTTTTGGTTTCCACACTCGTGAACAGATGCTCTAGATACCTTGAGGGTGCCAAACTTGTACTTTGATTTTCAGGTCAGGGTCAGGTCATCACAGGTCACGGAAATATTATATCATGTGTCGGTCACGTGACACATGTTTTATGGTCCATTTAGGCCATAGATTTCGAATTTGATGTCGTCTGTGTCATTCGAGGTCATTTTGAGTCGAATTTAGCTTAGGTCAGGTCACTTTCAGGTCAAAAAAGGTCAAATTTTGAAGTTAAAATTTTTCAACAAAAAAGGTGTCTATTGGATGCAGTTTGAGCTTAGCAACACGATGGTGCTATTTATGTTGGTGTACGATGTCAAATACGTACTGAAAAATTGATTTGAAAAATTAATAATTGTGAATTTTTTGCAATAATGCGTATAACTTGGCCATTTTTGAAGATATTTAGCTAAAACTTGCTAGAGTTAGTCATAAGCATGCGTTCTGTCACATATATTCCGGTTTTCTCGAAAAGTCAAAAGCTTTTTGAAAAAATTATAAAAATATGAATTTTGAATATTATTATATAAAATTTTCGACATTTTCAAAATTTCGAAAATCTGAGACTGCAGTTTGATAGCGCAGTCAATTCTGAGTCCTTTCATGCAAAGAAATTGGATCTAGCTTAAAAACTGAGCTCTTGGGAGCGATTGCCGTGGTTCAATGTTTTGCGTCGAAATCGGCCGAACATGACGTCACTCTGACGTCATTTCCGGCCGACCTATGGTAGCTACGAAGTTCAAATTTTGACACAAGGTGTCAAATTGATGCAGCCGAAGGTACTGAAAGTTTGGCGTTGATACGTCAAGTGGTTTGGAAGTTATTGCAAAAAAACGGGAGGGGGCTATGAATAGCCCCCCCCCCCCCCCGTGGGGCGCGGGTTAACTTTGCATCCAAACTGTTCCCAGGCCATAAGGTATTCTCTCCCAAAACCAAAAATTCTGCCTACACCACTGTTGCGCTGTTTTTTTACATCTGAAGTGGAGAGCCTCCATGCCTGAACATGGCGTGACCTTTGGCTTTCAACAGATTTGGTTTCCAAAACACTCATCAGAGATCAAAGAAATTACTCATAGTTCCTTTTGAATTAGACCTCTCCCCCAAGTATGCGCGACTTTGCGTTTGCTTCGGCTAAGCATGGAAGAAGTCGGCAAAGTTCTTCCAAGAATAGAATTTGAATGTGAATACTGCTGTGGGTGGAGGGTGGGGGGGGGGGGGGGTGAATACCCGCTTGCGGTCTTTCGCGAATATCTCGCCGTTTTTGGCACTATTTATCATGCATTTGTTCTGCACATGTTGTGAAAATTTCAGACCCAGGTCTCTCCAGGTCAGGTCACCAGGTCACGCCAAGTGATCTTACCTCAGAAAAGTTCCAATACTTGTCATAGCTACACCGAGTGACGGACCACTTTGAAACTTTCAGCAATTGATGAGGGCAACAGTATGTATAAATTGTATATCTCGCAATTTAGGGTGACCTAAGGCCAGGTGAACTTTGCGGCCTCTATTATAAGTCAATGGGAGAAAATGGAAATGTGACTTTTAGACGAACGTCCTACGTGATACGAAACACTCAAACATCGTTGCAGGTAAATATAAAGTATTGATTTGAATGATTGCACTCGTGATCCCTTGTTATGCCCCTAAGGTTATCTCAGGTCACGAAAGGTATCCATCAGTTTTTCGCTAATAACTTTTGATGCATGCCAGCTCAATGAAAACAAGCAGGGAGTCCTGTAGATGTATTCAGCTCGACAATACAGATCGGCCGATTAGCAACACTTTTTTGTCAAAGTATCACCTTGACCTGAGGTCAAATTGTCAAGCTGACCTTTTAAGGTCAACTTATAGTTCATTCGACAACGCCTTTCGGGAAAAGGAACACAATGCCGGTAAAAGTTTTTTGTACCTACATGTTTTGATTCAAAAGTGATGACAGCAAACAGTTTCCGCGAAAACGTCAATTTGAAGTTTTTGCTCTCTGCGGGCTAAACCGTAGACCTCAGGTCAAATCTGAGGACCTCACTCAGAAAGAGCGTTAAAAGGGTTATCCAATGTGTTTTTTTCCGCGGTGCCGTAGCCCTTGCGATAAACTAGCGAGCAAGCGCACTGAATGAACGAGTTTATGTGTGGCTTAACGGGAAAATCTCTGATGAGCGGCCCGACCCGGCCCTGCAGGTCCCCGTGACGCTTTTGAGAAGCTTAATCTCGGTAACCGCTCAGCCGATTGAAAAGCAGCCTTATGCATCTTCTGCTTCTACGTTTATGCTTTAAATCATGACTCATGAATCATGAACTCAACTTTTTTGGTGCGTATGGATTACCAGTAATGCATGTGCCACTTGCAAAAAAAAATGAAGAGTTGTCAATTTAGTATTAGTTCCAAGTATAACCAGTAAGACGCCTTTTGGGCTGACAAACGAGCCAGCAAGAGGGTGAGCCTTGCACGTGCAGAACTGCGTGGGGCTATTTCCAGCTATCTTGTGCAAGGCACCCTCACAACCGGTCTCAAGCGATGTGCCAAATTTGAGGACAATCGGTCCATCCGTTCTTGAGATCCGGAAGCGTCACCCTTCGTCACCCTGCACGTGCAGGAGTCGCTTCCAGATCTCGAGAACGACTGGACCGATCGCGCTCAAGTTTGGAATACCGTTTGGGACAGGTTAGTAGGGTGTCAGCTGGGGGTACCCCGTCGGAGTTCGCACTTCTGCACGTGCACTTGCAAGACTCACTCGTTTTTCGCCCCAAAAGGGTCATCACTGGTCCTACTATGCTCATGTGGTCATCTTATGCCAATAAAGGTCACCAGCAGTTTGACAATATTTTAGTATTCGACGCACGTAGGATGAATCACGATTACATTGTGATCGCTAGCTCTGTGTCTAACGCGCGATAGGATATGATCAGTGATCACAAACTGATTTTCAGTTTCTGTCTGAACAGTCTCGTATTGTTTCGAAGAACCGACTTTTATTTTTCGATTCCTAGTTCGAACATTGGGGTACTTAGAGAAGCGAAAAGGAATGTTTAGCAGCATTGTGATTGTTTCCTCCGCGGTTCATTTGCATGTTTTTCCTCCCTTGTTCTTCCTCACTCACTGGTCTTTGCTTACCATTAAATTCAGCTAATATTTTTCACCGTTTTGTAGCGTTTTTCTCATTCTGGAACTCAGAGTGGCGTTGCCGTTCAGGCGACTGTGAGCCTCGAAAGGCGGAGCATCGGCATACATAGAGGCAGTAGCTTTCCCGGGGGCGCCCAGAACGAAGCGATGGCGACCACCGGCCGGCTGTCGGCACTCGGTGAACCGGTCTGAACGCTGCAGTCCAGCGAAAAAATCGACACCCCGTATATAACAGCCGGGCCCGGCGTGTTGGGCACAATTTTCCTCTGTGCCGCTAACATGCGGGTCTGGCTGGCGCTGGTCGCTGTGTGTGCGCTAGCGGCCGCGCCGCCGCCCTGCCCGCTGGGGCCGGGCTGTCCGAAACTGACGCAGGAGCAGGCCGTCTACCTGCTCTCCACACACTTCCCGGGCCTGCTGGAGAAACTAGGGGGCGCCACTGGCAGCGCTGAGCCGCCGGCCGCACCAGCTGAGCAGCCGGGTGTGGCAGCCGAGCAGCCACCCACAGCAGCCGAGCAGCCACCCGCAGCAGCCGAGCCGCCAGCTGTAGCTGCTGAACCGCCTGCTGCAGCAGCTGAGCCGCCAGCTGCTGCCGCTGAGCCGTCGTCGTCACCCAGCGCGGCCAGCAGCGCCGAGCCGGCCCCCGGACCTGGCCAGAGCAGCGCACAGAGTGGCCCCGCGCAGCAGGATGTGCCGGCCGACCCCCAGGCCTCAGCTGAACCGCAACTGGAGCCGACTGCCGCCGCCTCGCCGGAGCCCTCGGCCGCGTCACCGCCTGCCGTCACCGAGCCCCCGGCCGCGGCGACCAGCTCCGAGCAGCCGCCGGTGCCCGCCGAGCCGCAGCCGGCTTCGGCAGCCGGCGAGCCGAGTGCAGCCGCTCCTCAGCCGAGCGCGCCGCAGAAGGGACCGGAGCCGGGACTGCCCGCAAGCCCTAAAGCCATCGGTGTGCCGGCTGATGCCATCCCCGCCAAGCCTATTGTTGTCCCGGACCATCTCAAGGACGCAGTGGTGGCTGGAGAGGCCAAAGCCGAATTCCAGGCTGCCTATGACGCGTTTGCGGCCACTCGTCTGGCCGGTGTGCGCCCATATCCGATCCCGGAGCGTCCGCGCCCGCTGATTCCGCTGCCGCCGACCCCGCCGCCGACCGTGGCGGTCCTGCCTGACCCCATCCGCGCTGTGGACCCGGCTGTGGCCTCCGCCGCTGCCCTCAACCCGGACGCCCTGGCTGCCGCCGTGGCGGACCCTTCCATCGGCGACCCCGCCGCCGCTGCCGTCGCTGTTGGAACTGCCGCCGCCGCCAGCATCAAATCTCCGTTCATTGTGAACGCTCCCACGGCCGGTGTTGTTGAAAGTTCTGCCAAGCAGGCCGTCATGCCGACGGAGCCCGCTGTGTTGGAACCCACGGGAGCCGCCCCCGCTGGAGGCGCTGCCGAGGTGCCCGCTGAGGTGCCTGTGGAGGTTCCTGCGGAAGTGCCTGCTGCCGCTGCAACCGCGGGGGCACCTGCGGACGTCCCCGCTGATGTCCCTGCGGAAGTTCCCGCTGGGGCACCCGCCGATGTGGCCGCTGAGGCGCCCGCGGGCGCTGCTGCGGAGGCGCCTGCGGCCGCCGCTCCTGAGGCGCCTGCCGACCCGGCCGGCTCGTCTCAGGTGGCCGGCGCTCCTCTCTCCGATCTGATCGCCGTACTGACCACTCCCGGCTCTCCGCTGGCAGACCTCGTCTCCAGTCTGTTGGGAAGCCAGTCGTCCGGCTCGGGCGCCGAGCCTGCTCTCGGCGGCACGTCCCTCTCCGACGTCATTGCGGCCCTGCCTCCCGAATCGCCCCTCACCAAACTGCTTACTGACCTGACGGACCCTAACTCGCCGCTTAGCGGTATTCTCTCGAAAGTCACCTCCCCTGAGGCTTCCTCCGGCTCTGACCCGTTGGGCGGAGTGGTCAGCGCTCTGACGGACGCTCCCTCCTCTGGTGGCGCGAGTCCGGTGGAGTCGCTGGTCGGCCAACTGACGGGCGCCGAGCCGACGACGGATGCGCCGGCTGCCGCTGGCGCCGCCGAACCCGGCGCTGCCGCTGCTTCAGCCCAGCCCGAACAGCCGACGACCACCACACAGGCTCAGCCCGAGCCGACGGCTACGACGCAGGCTCAGGCTGATCCGACGACTGTGACCGCAGCTCAGGCTGAACCATCTGCTGCGACCCCAGTCCAGGCCGAGCCGACGCCTGCTGCTCAGGCCCCAGCTGAGCCTTCAGCTGCTAGCCCGACTCAGGCCGAGCCGTCTGCCGCGGCTCCAGTCCAGGCTGAACCGACGGCGGCGGTACGGGCGGGTGTGGCGACCCGTCGGCTTCCCCGGCTCCGGCGCCCGGCTCGACCACCGTTCCCCGGCGGTCACCCGTTCAACTTCTTCGGCCTGCCGCCGCCGCCCCTGCGCCGGCCGGGCGCGGTCCGGCGCGGTCCCTCCCTGCACCACCTGCCGCCGGGCAGCCGAGCGCCGCCGTCCGTCATCGCGCAGCTCTCCCTCAAAGGCCTGGCCCCGCTCGACTTCTCCGCACACCTGAAGCCGACACCGAGGCCAGCCGCCACTCCGACACCCTAGACAGTGAGACACACTGGGCCAGCAACTTCCAAAAGATCGCTTTCTCATTCTTTCAGAGAATTGGGCGCCGATTTTGCCGGTCGCCTGAGACCTGTTTGTGCTAATTCTGTTGCGCACGTTAACATTGTATATTTATGAATATACCGCTGTGTGAGGTGACGGAACCTCCAATGGAGTAAGCCGATGACAATAAAGTTATCAAATGATTGTAACCCGTCTTTTCTTTTTTTCTTTTATTAAACGACCCGTTACTCGAATATCGGGCGAATGTCGTCTGGAGGCGATAAAGCTGTTCGTAGGGTCACATTGGCATGTTTGAAGCTAGACTTATGCAAGGATTTGCTTATGTAACTTTTTTTTTAGAAAAAAAAAACAGAAACAAAATGACTCCATGCTCAGTGCTATGAAAGTGACATTGCTTTTGGAATGCACATTACGTATCTATATTATGCAACTTCAATAATGTTGTTGTTTTTTAGCCGTTTACGTTTTGTGGTTTGATTACGCTTACATCAACGTGTGAGCGATGTTCTTATGGCGTGTCGTGTGGAGTGCGAACAATCGAACCATATGCTCTGGCTTTATAGCTTATCATGTGACATGTACAAAAAATATGTGAACTTTAGATACTGCGTCATCATCATGCATTGTTTACGGCAGCGCATTCAGGCTGGATGACCTCGCAAGGGCACCCACACCCAGCCCCTGCAAGAGGCTAAATGGGCACCATGGCTAGACCAGCTGCTGCCTGCAGAGCAAACGTATTACGATACGGAATTATTATAGATACGTGGCTTCACAAAGCTAATAAGAAATGTGGTGTGTGCTGTCCGTTACTGGAACAGCGTTTAATGTTGCAGCCCTGACCTTGGGGTGACATGCCCAATAGGTACGAGTCTACTTTCACTTATGTCCATTTCAAGCGCTATCATGGTTTTTAATGGTAAAACCACCTAAAGCGTGTTGGAATGTATGCTTCGTTCTAGTCAAACTGAACATCGGAACCATGATTAGAAAGTCAAGGTAACCTTTCACCACTCTTAATCATTTGATTCACATGGGCACGACTGAGTCAAATCATTACGTTTTCGTGAAACTCAAAGATAAGGATATGCCTGCATACATTGTAATGCATAATGATTGCACGTATAATGTTAATTACACGTCGCCAGCAAAAGTGCTTTATGCCAAACTGCATGTCGAAGTTGACAGCCAAGTGTGCATTATCAGCTGTCCATGCCGGTCCTTTGTTCGGAGTCGATGTATGTGGACCAATTCTTCCTTGGAGCGATACACTGCCCGATGCACGAAATGACACCGTGCCAGCGCCAAGGGCGGCCATGACAGGTCTGCCGGCCGGTGGACCAACTTTCTCGCTGAATACGAGGATGTTTCCGAGCGCGGCCGGCACGCGAGCAGTGATAGCTGTCTGGAACAGCGGCGATACCGCGTCCGGGAGGTGTTCGGGGTCCGGCTACTCCGCTGTGGCGTGCTTCTGTGGCTGGGCCCTGGGCAGTGTTTTTGCCGACTTCAGGATATTCCGATGGACACGGATTGTTCGATGTCGTGAAAACGGCTCCGAAAGTTACCTCAAAAGGAGCCGCGGCGCTCCTGTCCTGTGAATTCGATGTTTATGTATCATGACGGTCGTTATTAAATTTTCCCAGTAAAAAATAGGTGTTATTGGTAATACTGAAGAATTTGAATGCGTCCCTGCTGTGAAGTCAAACAATCCCATTACAGTGACGTACGAGTATTGCCCTCAGCCCATATGCTCATTGTCCATTTCGTATGAAGTATACTTTTTGATAAAATCGTTCCAGAGGCCAGTGTGCTCGTTAATAAAACCATTCTTTTATACGGGCTTGACTCGTGCTGTTTGGTAATTGCTTTTTTCTTGATATTGCACCTTTTGCATGATGTTATTGTTGCATGGTATAAAATTGTACCTACATTTGCATGTAATGACTTTGTTCATCGTGCCTGTTATCGTTGCTGAAAAATACGGGATTTCGTCGAAAAAAAAATTAGGCTCCATCTTGGATTGAGCCTTTCTTCCATTGTTGCGAATAAAAATAATGGTTCTAGGTTAGAAGTGGTGCAATGGGCTATGTTGCTTGAAAAGTTGACACTATGAAACATTTTTCGGTTGAAGTGTCTGCTTAAAATTACGAACTTTTGTGAATTAAAACGTATATTCCTTTTCGGGCCGGCTTGACGTGGAAAACACACGCTAGTTTTGCCCAATAATGCTAATAACGCAAACTTAGGTGTTAAACATTTGCAATCCAGTTTTATTAACGGACCTTCTTTACAAGTGATATAAAATAAAAAGTTGGCTGGCACATGCATCGTCGTCCACTGTATGTGTAGAAAACCCGACCCATCTCAGAAAGTTCTCTCGTTTAGTTCAGTAGAGAATAGAGATGCTCAAGGTGAGACTTGTTGCCCGTCAATATCCGGACCAAAAACGCAAGAACCTCGGTCAGATTCAGTCAAACACTATGCTGAACGCTCGCTGGATGCTGTTTTGCTGTGTTCGCGAGCCGTGCCGCAGGCCGTCGCTCTCATACCAGCCGCTGCGTGGCCGGGCGTGCCGCTGCGGCGGCGTCCGCTCACTGGACTGGTAGGCTGTGCCGCCGACCCCCGTGAGATGCGGGCCAGCCTACCGTCCAGGCGCGCGCCGGAGATGCTGGCAGTATACCGGCTCAGATCATGAGAGCGCCGGCCTCTCAGAACACGGAGGACCCCTTCGTTGAGATATTTAGTGCCTTGAGCTCCTTTGTGAGGTGATACAGGGTCGGCTTTTGAGGGAAAACCGTTACGGTTATTTTCATGTCAAAGTTGTTTTCATCGGAGGGGAGGATAACCTATTGTCGATATGAACAGTAGCGAAAGTTTACGTACGATCATCCTTATAGCTTCTGAACATTGGAAAAGCCATTACTGTGTGAAGTTATCCATTTACATCATGTTACATCGTCATTTCGCCATAATGATACATGGGAATGAGAGCGAATGGCAGAAGGGCCATGACATCCTTCCCCACTTTATGAAAGTATCCGCCAAAATCATCGCCTTTCCTCGAAAACAAAGCTGCGTAACGGGGAAAGTCGCAAGAGGAAAACACGGAACTGCAAAATAAATTGCAAAAGTTTATCAAATAGAGAGGTCAAAGTTTCAGTAGTCTGCTCACTTTGATGTCATTGGCTAGGCATTGCCATGTTGCGGAGTTGCCAAAATTCATTACGTCATGGGAACGAAATGGCAAACATTCGATTCACATTAAAAATGTTAGAATTGAACTTTTGCTCATAATATTAGAGGTACCTGAACTTTCTTTTCGTCGGCCCAAAACAGGCATTTTATTGGCCCATAAAACACCTGTTCTGGGCTTTTTTAAAACGTTTAAAATTGTGTAGCTCTTAACGTTTTTGCAGTCAGCATGTACGAGTATTTCCTGTTGTTTCGACTTTATTGATGAAATCGAATTGCCATGTTCAGCTTCCTCCGTTCTGTCCCTTCATGGTGCTCAAAATTAGGCACCATTGGACTGAGCAGTGAGCACCGACAATTGGTCCGGTCCTGCTGGCTGTTGCCGTCCCGTGCCTTCCAGAACCGTCCGTGTGATTCAGCGCCGGCCGAAGGGACGCAGCGGTGTCGTGCGGGCGCTGACCGGCCGTGCTGCCGAGGCCGCCCGGATCCTCACTGCACGATGGTATCGCCGCCTAACGGCACGCGCCCCGGGCGACAATCGCGTGATATCCGGGACGGCGGGCCGACCGGCACATCCGCGATCCCATCACGCGGCCGCACACGACCCGCCGATGAATCGAGCCGAGCTGTCGCTCCTTTCCTCGCCGTCCGGTCGAAAAACTGCACCGCCTCCTCCAAAAGTGGGAACCAGGCAAAACAATGACAACTATTCCGAAGGAAACCCGGTTAGGTCGATGTGTTGCTAGACAGTCCTAGTTTCTTTTTTTCGTCAGTCTTCCGGCTGCTAACGCGACGAATAAAAATAATTCAGTTTAAGGTTGAATGTCTTCCTGTGTCCATATTTCCCTAATTTGGTGACTGTGAATTCTTTACAGCGCCTTATATGCTGGACTATCCGATTTTGGGTTGTGTTTCTACATTTTACTGATCGAAATTTAGAACATCTTTCACGGCTGCTGCCCTACCCGTTTCGGAACTGTTTCCGTGGTACGGTATGACCGATACCGTTTATGGTGCGCTATCCCTAACGATATTCTCTGTTGTTCCCAGGTGCGGACAGCTGGTCGCGCAGGAGCTCCGCTGGCCCCCTCTCCGACTCAAACGTGCTCCGAAAGGTGGCCAGCCTGACGCACGCCGCCGCCGGACAAAAGGCCAGTCGGCCGCGCTACCTGCCCGAAAAACTCGAGTTCAAACACTACGAAAAATTCGAAGGTATGTCTACACGTAATCCTTGCAAGGCTTAGCGATTTTCTTCAAATTAATGCAGGCCGATTTGAGTTGATACGACTCCTTGCCCTTGCCTTTTGCGCCTAAATGAGCTAGAGTTTTACAGGAACCGTGCTGATCGGTATTAAATGTATGGTCTAAAGGTCTTTCAGTGACATTTGTCGTGAAAGTCGTGTTTCGGCAGTCTCAGCGTTATGTCGGCAGTCGGGTTTCGCTTTTTTTACCTTCTGCGCCCTCGTCAAATGTGGCAGTAAACACATGTTGATCATGCCAGTCTCACATGTGTTTGTGCATTCTTTGATATACAGGGTGTCCGGAAAGTTCTGACGCTTTCCAACATTTCTGAAAACAAATACCTCTGGTTGATTGATACTCAACAAAAGAGCAAAACGATTATTAGGGACACCAAGCCACAAACTTCCGTTAAGTGCTAATTTAATCTAACCACCGTCTTCGCCGACGACGGCCTCGACGCGGGGGCGGAAGCACTTGCGTGTTTTGACGATGTAGGATATTTCCAGGTCCTCCCATGCTGTCATGATGCGTGTATTTAACGACTCCAGGTTGGGAGGAGATGTGGCCTAGAGCTTATTCTACAAAACGCGTAGCACGCCTTAGTCGAGCAGCTTAAGGTTAGAAGAATAAGGCGGCCCAAACTCATTTCGCCAAGGTGATCTAGCCCGCCGAGCTACACTGTCAGTGTGGCTTGGGCGGCAGCGGCAATGTTGGAGGGCGCTCCGTGCTGTCGAAAATTGAAATGCGAAGTGACCCTTAGAGCAAGTCGCCTTGACCCTCAGGTTGATGTGCCTGCTCAGGATTCCCTCGTGGACCAGCCTGCTTTTTTAATTTATCTAACATTGACGAAGATATGGAACATTTTTGTCCATCAGACTCCTGGATTTTCTTCAATTGTCTCGGAAATGCTGCTAAGGTCTCGGCAGTTTTGCCATAACGCGGTCGTACCGGTCTGGGGATATTTTTTAAGGGATTCCCGGGTCGGACTTCACTTTCACCTGCTCAACCATGCGCCGAAAAACGCCGCATCACGCTGCAACTCGCACCTCGTTTAAGCCGCACCCGGCCGCCGCGCGCAGGCATTCGGCAACAAGGCGCATCTTCGCCCATTTACCCATCACTAAAATGATTTCAAGGCCATATTTACACGACCCCTGGCTGAGTGGCCAGCCAGGGGTCATGTCTGTGCTGTGGTGATTGGCTGAATGTCCAATAATCACAGCACGCGTTAGACGGCGTCCAATGGAAGCGTCAGGACTTTCCGGACACCCTGTATATTTGTAACATATCTACATATACCGTCAACATTGCCAACACACGTGTGCGTGTGATAGGCAATTATATCAATTTTCGCGCCTCTGTCCACCAGGTCAGATGCTGGTGAACTGGTTCATCTCGTCGTACGGCGACGACCAGGCCTCGCTGGGTGAACCGACCCTGCGCGCCATGGCCGCCCAGTTTCTGACGCTGCTGCTGGCTGCCGGTGTGCTGCATCAGATTGAGGACAGCTCGGCGCCGCTAGAGCCAGTCTTCAGGGTGAGTCACTCGCAGTGAGTCATTGAGAAGACACGTCAGAGCTTTGGACAGTGGAAAAAGTCTGGTCAGCGGGAATCAATGATTTGCTTTTACTTATTAAGACGTGTGCTCGGCAGATCGACATAGTTAGTCATCCGTCACGTGTGGTGCCAACGATGAATTTGGACATATTGCCGGTTACAGCAGATAATGCTGGACCCTGGTGTGTGACCGTTATGCGTGTGTGTCCACCCGCAGCCAAACCTGATGTACTACTGGGCGCACTCGGAACCAGCGGCTTCCCAGGCTTCCTCTCCCGGCCGGCTGCCGAATGCTGTGTGGTCGCCCTTCAGCCCGACGGCCGCCGGTCAGTGGGTGGGGTGTGTCCCCTGGTCCGGGCGAACGGAACAGCAGCGGTTACGGGCGCGGGGGTCAAATCTTTACAACCCTGATCTTACTCTAGTTGTAATATGGAGTAGCGGGATTTTCCTGACCTTTTGAACTTGACCGATAGGTATCGAGAATCAGACATACCCATAAATATGTCATGATATCGGCTGTTTATTATGGTGCCCCTAACTTGATTTCGTTTTGGTGTATCGACGGGCTGAAGCCAGTCTTATTTGTGACCACTGAAGCACCATGAGGTATGTCAGTTGTACCCGTCTCGGGGCCCGGGCATTGCTCGACAGTTCACTCTCCTGTTAGGCACCACCGCTCGACAGCCCGGTCCTTTGTGTGTGTTTGGTGCCACCGCTCGACAGCCCGCTCCTCTGTGTGTTAGGTGCGCCGGGCCGGTCGGCCGCAGAGCAGGGTACTCCGCCTTCCCCGGTGAAGGCGGGCGCACAGCCCGTGGCCAAACCGGTGCGCCGTGTGGTGCCTGAAGTGTCCAGCACCGAGGCGCTGAAGCTGACGGAGCTGGAGAGCAAGCTGCGCCTGCTGGAGCAGCAGCTGGACAAGTACAAAACCATGGTGGGACTGCAGGTAAGCACTGAGTGCTTTTGGTCACGGCTTTGTTGGTTTCTCCATTATTTTGTCTGAACAGGGCTGTTTCTTCAATACTGCATCTTCAGATTCACGGCCCCTTGCGAGTACCCGAAGGTTGTTTCTTCATTAGACAAACACTATTCTTTAGAATTGTGTTTTTCTATTGAAAAACAAACTGAGGGTGTTTCCATTTCGGTAATTAATCTGAAGATTCCGTTGTGGTAAAAGATCTTATTTTGTAAGACAGCCAAATACGGCTACTTTATTGATCAATTGATTGAGCTACATTTTCCTCATGGAGCTTGTTATGTACTTACCTTTTCCTCTGGCTTGTAATGAATAGCGGAAAGATGCTCGAATATGTTGGTGTGTGCTGTGCAACTGCGTTACCTTACTATTTTGTGACAGTTAAGCCATGTTATTCCTCTAATAGCAGGAATCTGAGAGCTGCATTTTGTATTTGGATGCGCTTTTTAGGTTGAACGTCATGTTCTGTCTGCGAAATCATAAGAATTGCCACAAAAAGTGACGCCCATAACTTGGAAGCTGAATGTTCTTCAAGTGAAAACAACCTCCGAAAGGACCGAATCCCTCCTTGGTCTGAAAAGGTGCGTTTTTTGGACCAGCTTAGGACAGCGTGGTTCTGTTTGCAGGAGCTGACCAAAAACATGAAGAACGACTACGGCCCCCGGCAGACGGCCGACGCCAAGAGTGGTCCGTCTCCAGCGTCCACCCCGTCTAAAGGGACGGCACCCCCGTGGAGCCCGCAGAAGCCGGCTCCAGTGCGGGCTCCGCCGCCCTACCAGCCTCCCCCGCCGCCCTCGGGTCCTGCCCCGCCCCGGCAGTCTCCCGGGCACGGGTCCCAGCAGCCTGCTGCCCGCACCTCACCGAGCGCTGAGGGCTTCCCCTCACCGACCTCGCCGGCACGTGGTGTGCCCCCTCCTCCCCCACCCCCACCGCCACCGCCTGGGTCTGGTATACCTCCACCGCCCCCGCCACCACCCCCACTCCCTGGGTCAGGAATACCCCCTCCCATCCTGCCAGGGTCTGGAATACCTCCACCTCCACCCCCACCTCCAGGGTCTGGCATACCCCCTCCCCCTCCCATGCCTGGGTCTGGCATACCCCTTCCTCCTCCTATGCCTGGGTCAGGAATACCCCCTCCGCCGCCGCCCCCTGGTTCGGGTATACCCCCTCCTCCCCCTCCTCCAGGGTCAGGTATTCCTCCCCCGCCCCCTCCTCCCGGAGCCGGAGTGCCCCCTCCCCCTCCCCCGCCGGCGCCGACGGCTGGAGGTCCGCCGCCGCTGCCGCCGCCGCCTCCGGGCGGATGGAGCCAGACACCAGCTGCAAGTAAGTCTCTCCTAATGGCATAGACATCATTCGCGTTTTTATTAATTTTGTTGGAAGCTAATTGCCTGGCTCGTCAGCAATATAGAATGTCTTCCTAATCACAAGTTGTCCTGAGTGTGGTATGTTTTTCAGACGCCATATGCGTTTAATGGCTTAAATGGAGCTCTTTTGATTATATAGCGAATCTGTTTAGTCGGACGCTTAAAGGGACTATCCCACCTTTAACATGGGGTTTGAGTTGAGATAGCCAAGTTTGCGGCGAGGTTCAGAAACCACTATCTATCTAGGTTGCAACCCACGCGGCCTCTTGGTGTTGAAGAAATTCGTTCCCTTCATTTGAAAATGGGCCTTGCGCAAGGCCCTATCTTCAACATGGAGCGACCGTTAGTGTGACGTCACCTCGTTTAGTCATTCTGATTTAAATGGGTTTGTTCGTTGAAAAATCGCTGAAAACTTGGTCTGAACTTTGTTGTGGTGCCTACAGAGTAAAAAGAATCAGCTTTATGACAGTAATGTGGCCTGGGGAAGGAGGTAATTTTGGGCTGTGACGTCACATATTTGAAAGTTTGTGTTTGGAATATGGGAAGCCTAAGATGTTTAATGAAAAATAAATGCCAGAACCGTGTTCCTGGTCATCCAATCTATAAAGTCGGGCACAATTTAACTGGTTTTAACAACATTTTAGAAGGTGGGATGGTCCCTTTAAACCTGACGGCTTTGCGCCCTAATCCACCAGGAAGGAGAAGAAGAATCTTCTTAGATTGAATGATACATTTTGCTTCTAGGGACTAATGAAAGGTTCATTGGCGATGCCAATCACAATGCCTCTCAAATCTAAACCTTCAAACGTCTTTCAAGTTAAAGCTCCAACTTACAGCTCTGGGTGCATTCGAAATGATCACTTCATAGTCGTCGCTAAATCTCGTGACGCAACTTATCATAACTGCCCCCCACCCCCCACCCCCTACCCCTAAAAAAGCGGCTATCCGTCAAAACGGATTATTGTTCGCAAAGTTTGTCAGTGCGGGTTTCCCATTCACTGGCTCAGGATCCGTTAGCTCGACCCGGCTGGTTTGGCCAGGTCTGCTGGTTGTTCGTTGGAATCCTGTATTTGTCTGCAGTATTTCCCGCTCTCCTTTTGTTGACCGTCCTGGACTGACCCACGCCGCCGTTGGTTCCCACAGCGCTGCGAAAGGTGCCCGTGAACCCCAAGGTGCCGATGCGGCCGCTGTACTGGACGCGTATCCAGATGCCGGTGGTAGCGGCTCCGGTGGCCCCGCCCGTGGCCGATTCCAACGGGACGGAGAACGACAGGTGGGAGTCACAGCTCGGGATCAGTGACACAGGCATGTCATAAAACGGAAACGTCCATATGCTAGCGTACCCGAACGATGGCAATGTATGAATAAACCTGCTAGAAGTCCTCACAAACAAAAAAGCAATAAACCTGTCATCAGATGTGGTCGTTCACCTATTGTTCTGATTCATAAAAAACGGTTATTGCGTATCAGCATGAAGGTCGTGTTTTGTTGTTTCATGTTTATGAAGAAGCGGAAACGTCAATATGCAATTGAAAGTTTTCACAATCACTTCATTGTGTATGGACGGGTATTGTTTTACGACCATTGTACCATGTGACCCCGTCGTGTGATGTCTGCCGACAGCCAGCCGGCGTCCTCTATCCTGTGTTACCCTGACATATGACGGCACCCTCCCTCTGTGTTACCGCGCGGTGTTGATATGGATGTTTCCGTTTGATGCTGTGTGCCGACAGTCAGCCGGCGCCCTCTCGTTCTGTGCCTCCCTGTCCTGTGTGACGCCCCCGCCCTGTGTTACCCCGTCGTGTGCTGTGTGCCGACAGCCAGCCGACGCCATCGCTCCTCTGGGACCAGCTGCAGGAGGAGCCCTTTGAGGAGGAAGAGTTCACTGACTTGTTCGCCAGACAGGTGGTCCAGAAGAAGCCGGCCAAAAAGAAGGAGGTCAAGAGTCCCAAGAAACAGGTGGGTTTGACTCGCCTGGTGCTGAGGAGCTCCTCTGCTCTTGACCTGTTGTTGAATGGCTTGGTTTCGCATTGGTTCCGCTTCCCGAGATGGAATTTGCAAAAATAGCAACGTTGTTTGTAATTGTAGGTTACAAATAACTGCAGCATTTACCAGCTGTTTACGCTGTGTGCCGTACCGACTCTTGTTTTCTTTACTACAGGTAAAGCGTGCCAAACTGCTGGACAGCAAGCGATCGCAGAACGTCGGCATTCTGATCTCGTCTCAGCACCTGGAGATTGCGGACATCGAGTCGGCGGTGCTCAATTTGGACACCTCCGACCTCAGCTTGGACCAGCTCGAACAGCTCCTGGAAATGGTCAGTATGTCACTTGTTTGGGTGAACGAAGCCTGGACATTGGACTAATAAGTTGTTGTATAGTGTGCTTTGAATATTTGTTATTCACAACGGTAAAAATCACAAGAATACCATGAAACTCTTAAATTAGTCCAGCATCACACTTAACTGCACCGATGCTCTCCATCTTATCCTTGATTTCATCAGTATATTGGCATTGTGATTTTTTTACGCTTGAGTATGTGACGTGCCAATCAGGTGTCTTTCGATACTCATGCTATACTGTTCTTATGTTTCCAGAGGGCTACCGATGAGGAGTTGAAGACCATTCGGCACCACCTGCAAAAGAACCCGGACGTACCCCTGGACAAACCCGAACAGTAAGGAGCTATCAAACCACATCACAGTGTCATCTGCCATTTCCGCAATGTGTCCAGGCTTCCTGCTACCGTGGATCGAATTAACACTCATGTTTCCTGTCTGCGCCCAGGTTTTTATACGAGCTGAGTCAGCTTCCGCACTTTGCTGATCGGATCACCTGCTTCACATTCCAATCGTCATTCCACGAGGCGCTGAATACGCTGGAGGTCAAACTGGATAACCTGAAGAGTACATGTAAGGTGAGCTGATGCCACATTTCATCACCAATTCAGAGTCTTCTTCGTATCGTACGCATATTCTTTTATCTATCGTCACCTACCAAGAAATTACGTGTTGTTTTGTGGATGGTGTATGTTTGTGAGATCGAGTACTTCTACCTGTAAACTGTGAATGCGTGTTTTGTGTGAGGATTCTTGTTCGTTACCGTGATTGTTCTTTATTTTGTCTCATTCTGATGACTCAACTGGCGCCCTTTTCAGATGTTGATGTCTTCCAAGTCGGTGCAGCACGTGTTCGGGTTGATCCTCGCGCTGGGAAACTACATGAACGGCGGCAACAGGACACGAGGGCAGGCCGACGGCTTCGGTCTCGATATCATCGGAAAACTCAAAGACGTCAAGAGCAAAGATAGTTCCGTTACCTTGCTGCACTATATCGTCAAGAAATATATCCAGGTATGACAATAGTCCATATGTGTAAGTGTAACGCTCAAATGTTTTGGAGGAAGCGATTGGCGGACACTGTGGAGCTCAGGAGTATTGTTTGTGGAGCTTGCTTGCTCGGTCCGTAATTTTTTAAGGTTTAGGCATACTTTCGAATGTCATCAAATGCCAGTTGTCATCTCTCGTTTTGTCTAGTTCGCTGTAAATATCTTCCGCAAAAGTAAGTAATAAACATATTTATTTCTTGCACGGCCGAAATTCTGCCCTTCTGCTGATCCAAGCTGAGTGAAATTATAATTTTTCCTCTGACGATATTCTCCTCCGCCGAACAGAACCACGACCCGGAGTGCGCGCAGCTGCCGGTGCCCAGTCCGTGGGACGTGGAGCGGTGCCAGCAGATCCGCTTTGACGAGGTAGCCACCGACCTCCGCCGGCTGGCAAAGGAGCTCCGCGACTGCCGACTCCGCACCGAAAAGGCGAGCGAAGGGACAGCTTGGTGCTCGTGTTGAAGGCTCAGTCATGACCCGGCCGGACACAGCCCAACAAACATTCATTGTTTGAACCGCTGAAACAGCAGACTGATCTGGTAGTAGACAATAGACCGATCTGACGCCATGGAGTTAGTGTTTGTATGACTTCTGATGTAGCCTACCACGTCCTCTCACCTTTGCTGACCAGTTATAAAATAATTTCACATGACTAATCAGTGTTTTACCGAGGCTCTCCCATTTGGTGACAGGTGGCGGCGTCTTCCGAGGAGGCTCATTTGCAGCCGTTCAAGGATAACATGGAGACCTTCCTGCGGGAGGCCGACCAACGACTAGATGTTCAGCAGAATAACCTAAAGGAGTGCGAAAACTGGTGAGTTTTGGAAACGCTTAAGTATGTCTCCCAAGCCCCTAATTCAGCTGTCGACGGAGCTCAGAAATACCCCCCCCCCCACACACACACACACACATTTTTATGCAAATCATAGATTCACGATAAATGATGTTGCTATGCTAACGCTTGTATCCTCCCCGTAGTTTTGCAGACGTCTGTGTCTTCTTCCAATGCACACATCGAAAGGACGGAAAGAAGATGACGCCGAAGGACTTCTTCCTAATATGGTCGCCGTTCTGTGGTGATTTCGCCGACATATGGAAGCGGGAACAGCTGAGCATGTAAGCTTAAAGATTTATCAACTTGAGTAAATTCAAATCTGTTAACTCTTAGATTATTTAAAAAAAGTGACTCAAGCTCTGAAATACTCTTTATTTTGCCCTATGATGCCGTAGTATTATCCTGAATGAATTCATTGATTGTTTGAACCTGCTTCATGCTAAGAAGTATTGTGCCATTCAATGATGCTTTTTTCACAGTGTGAAAGAAACTACGAAGAGAATGAAGAAAATTCAGGAAGACAAGAAAAAGGTTACGAGAAAGGCAAAGGAAGCGGGTGGCCTGGTAAGCTATTAACCATTTTATTTTGTGTTGCTTTTGTATGCTTGCCTACATCCCCTTTTTATCCGTTGTCTTGCGATGACATTATCTTTACAGATAATTAGTTTGTAAATGTCCTGTCTCTTCACTACTCTGTCTGATTGCATGATGCCCAGTGGCATTGACTTTAATTTATATTGTGAGTACCGAATAGTTACTAGCTTATAACCAGATAAGTTGTCTAAATGGGTGCAGTGGCGGATCCAGGATTTCGTCAAGGGGGGGGGGGGCATACGGTATTGTGGTACCCCTGGCATTTGGTGCCCCCCGCCCCTAAAAAAATCCACGAATTTCGGCCACTTACTTTTCGGGATGGTACCCCCTTAGACCCGGGGAGAGTGCTTCTTCAGACCTCTGATTTCGGAATGGTGCCCCTGGAAACTTGGAATGGTGCCCCCGGAGACCTCGGAATGGTGCCCCCGGAGATAGACTTCGGGATGGTGCCCCCTCTGCCCTCAGACCTCGGGATAGTGCCCCCAGACCTCGCGATGGTGCCACCGGAGACCTCGGGATGGTGCCCCCGAACCCTCGAGATGGTGCCTCCTCCGACCTTGGGATGGTGCCCACGGAGAACTCGAGATGGTGCCCCCGCGGACCTCGGGATGGAAATAGCCCCACCCGAGGCGAGGAACAGAAATGGACCTCCGAACCCCGAAAACGGTACCCTATTCTGATAGACCTTCTGGATGATGCCGGATGGTGTCCACTTAGAAGACCTCTGGGTTGAAGCTACCGTCGGTGACCTCCGTAATGAATTAAAAAAAAAAAACATCCGTGATGGTGCCCCCGGGAGGCCCAAGGGGGAGGGGCATGGCCCCATGCCCCCCCCCCCCTCCCGGATCCGCCACTGAGTGGGTGTGAAATTCGTTTCTAAACGACCTTTTAAGCTGGCTCGCATTATGTTAATATGAAGCAGCCGCCCTAATAGTTGCGATGATTATTCATCCCATGGGTCTTATGTTTCTGATTTTCTTGTTGCAGAAAGCGAAACTGCGGCTATGACGGACGCTGGACAGTAGTGGCTGCGTTACTCTGTTCCCCGGTCGGCCGTTGTCGCTGGTCTCAGCAACTGGCTAGCTGTGCCCGGATCCCACCGGTGCTATCATGGTTAGTCCGCCGTCCCCGGCTGTCGTGGGGTCACGTTCGCCCCTCTGCGGTGGCACACTCTGTCCGCATCATTCCGTGCCATCAGTGGTGGCAGCCGCCAGTCGAGTGGTGTCCCTTTGCTGGCTACCAGTGTGCTGTGAGGCCGACCCCGGCCAACGCTCGGCAGGAACGCAGGCTATGCGCTAGCCTGGCAGCTAGTGGTGCGAAGGCAAGCTAGGATAAGCGGCTGCCGACGAAAGGTTGGGCGGCAGCTCGGCCAAAATTCCATTGACGACAGGTATCATTGTAGTATCGGCCAGTTGGTGGCAGCTTGTTTGCTGCGGTGGACGTATTTGCGTTCGTATTGACGCGATTTATTTGCAATGCTACTCATGTGTTACCTCTTTGGTTGGTTTCTTTAAGACTAGCCAATAGTGAACTTTTTACGCTTTATTGTCCATGCAGCTGATATGACGGGCCGTATTTTTGCTCCGTCATAAACTTTGCGTCGTTAGAACGTTAAAGAAGTGGTTTAAGCTTAGCAGCGTGTAAGTACCTGTGAAATCGCGAACGCAAAAACACAGGAAATACCATTCGTAGAATGGTAACATATTTTGTATATCTTGTGCGTTTCTCGCTTTTGTCGCGTTTTTTACATTGTTTTGTGCTTCATGAGCACAGCTTAAAGCGAAGTGGTAGGGCATCAGTTTTAATTATTTATAGAAAAGTTGCTGATATAGATCATTGTTGCGAAACTGCGTATTTGTACCCTAATAAAGTGCTGTTTGAATAAATGTTTGTGTTATGGCTAGTGCTTGATGTGATCAATGAACAGGTGACCGAGGAAATAATAGTTCTGTATTGCATTGATTGGTGCGATACGTCGAGATCTTACGTAAGATGGTATAGGAAACCTGGATAACACAATAGTTTATTATGACTGAATGACAATCGGGGTGGTTGTCCTACCCAGGAAAGGTCAGTCTGTATGTCTGTCTGATTCAAGGCGTCGTGTTCCAGCCAGCCGCTGATTTGTCGCGGTGCGTTGTTCCAGTGTCGAACCAAGTGAGTCGGACCTAATGACCCAGACGTCGGGGCGCCCTGTATTGCGCGGAAACCTGTTCTTATGTGCCCTCTCTGTGAGTTTTTATCATTTCGCATTCTCAAAAGTTTCATGTGGATGTTGAACCATCCACTGGAAGAGATAGGCAGATACATCATTGCACTGAGCTGAATTTTTATGTTTTTTAGCTTCCCTTTCGCTGAATGTGTTATTCGGTGCTGTACTGGCCAGGTGTTCAGCCACTCAGTTTTTTCTTTATTCTACAAAACGCTTCAACTAGAGACAAGTGGCACTTCCTCCCTTCAGTTTGTGTACAATGTCTTGGGCATTTCATATTGATGGTGATTGGTGTTACTTTCATATCAGCAGTTACTTTACCGAATCGAATACGAAGACAAACTTCTGTTGTCGAAAGCAATCTTGAGCCTGAATTCGGTGTAGAAATATACTGAGTTTTTAGAGACGAGACGCTGTCTTGTAGAGCTTTTAGTTTATTTCGTTTGATAAGTTTCTGGAGCTAAGAATAATCGTGAATCCAGTTTCACGGCACAGGGAAGCCCAGTCTGTTTTCATAACACGTTTTATTTGTCACTGACTAGAACATAACTAATGACAGCAGTCAGCAAATACAGTCAGCAACTCAGTATTTGAGCTGAGCCTTTCTGTATACAGAAACAATTGATGGTCCCTTTACACTTTCCAGTACACGTCACTAGCAGCAAACATTCTGCATTGGTCACTAGTCCACCCCTACAGACGATGGTGGCGGCCCTTGCCGTACGTTTTCGGCGACAGCAGCGGTGCTGAGAGTGGCTGGGACTTCAGGTGGCTCGGGACCGAGTTTTCCCTCCGGTGTTTCGTCCATCCAGCCCTGTGACAAACGGCGGCGCTGATTCAACCGCAGCGGGAGTACGCCTGGTGTCTGCGGTTGCAAAACAATGACAACAAACTTACGCTCACCTGTGTGTCCTTATGCCGAAGTTTCCTTCCGGGGCTTGAATGTCGTTAGTTTATCATGTTTTCCGCAAGAGCCACAACATTGAGTAATAGGTATCAGTCATATTGTTTGGACTTCCCGAGTAAATCTACATGGATATTAGTCACCCGATACAATTAATTAGTCATGCAATCATACTATTTTCCATGAAGCTTCTGTTATCATTCAAACTAACGCTTCAATGCACCGCAACCGGTGCCGATTGTGTAACGATCGCACTGACCTGCAGCTGAGTGAGAGTGGCCTCCGACTGCCTGACCAGCTGCGCCGCCGACCTCACCGTCTGCTGCCAGCGCGCCAGCTGCTCGCGGTGCTGCTCGTTCTGCTCTTGGACCGACGTCAGACGATCCAGTAACTCTGGGTCAGGTCTGCAAGTATATCTTATCGAGGTCACCAGGGCTGGTAGTTAGAAGAGCTTGTAAGCGGGCAGCGTTTATGGTAAAATGGGCGGAAGACGGTCCCCTCTCATTCGTCTACAAGCTGATAGCCAGTGGCGACTTCTGCCCTCTTCGGATGCGAGAGAAACTATCCTAAAAAATATACTGGAAATAAAAACCAGAATGGGAGCTGAGTCTGTTATCTTCAAGCAGGCGGGAGGAGAATACAGTACTTCAAATAACTAAAGGCGTACCCTCGCTGAGCCCGATAACTGCACCTGTACCGTTAATCAGCATGACTCGGGGTTTTCCGTGCCCCGGCTTAGCACTCAGCGGCTGTATTTTGACGCCAGTCCCGGCCCCTCCTGACCACATTGACCTGAGTCCCTCATAGAGCAGAAGCTCTCCGACTGCCTAGCACCTCTGCTGACTGATCCCGCTGACCTGAGTCTACCCCCTCCTGACCCCTCTGACCTGAGTCCACCCCCTGCTGACCCCTCTGACCTGAGTCTACCCCCTCCTGACCCCTCTGACCCTCCCCCGCTCCCCCGTCGTGACCCTTACTGACCTGATTCCGGCCTGGAGCAGTCCGGCGTGCAGCAGCAGCTCGGTCTGGCTGCCCAGCCGCGACAGACGCACGTACAGGAAGCCGTTCAGGCCGATGAGCAGCAGCGTCAGGGCAAGCACCAGAAGCAACAGGCCGCGACCGGCACCGGGGGCTTCTGAGGGTACCGGCAGCGACACGGAGAGGTCAGCTCGGCACGGAACTTACTATTCCAGTGAGTCCGGAGCTCCAATCGTTCATGAAGGTTTTATCCTGTTTTCTTTAGATAATGAATGATGTTATGCATTGAATAATTCAATGAAGATTGACACAAGGCATGCGATGTTATTAGATGGCCCAGTATCCTTGCTGTTTTCTCGAACCTGCTTTGCCTCCCTTTCTCCCTTCTGTCTGTTTCTCCCTTCATCTCTGTCTCCCTTTCAGCAACTTGCCTCGGTATGGACTGTGTCGTTACCTGAGGGTGTCCGGGCCGGTGCAGGTGTGTCTGCGGCGGCGCTCTGGCCCCGCTGGTCGTCTGCCGCCTCCTGCCGCGCCCGGTCCGGGCTCTGCACCCAGCTGGTCAGCATCTGCTCCAGCGTGTTGTGGTGCTCCTCCATCCCCTCGTTGGCCGTCCTCTCGATGAAGCCTGACGGAGCACGAGGAGGCCGGTAACTCTTTGACTGGATTCAGTGATCTCAAACGAGTCGGATGTGCCCGTGTTCTTTCCTTTCTGAGCCCTCCCTACTAGACTCACATACCCTCTCCCTGCTTCCTTGCAGGCGGGTTGATGCGCCTGGCTATCGTAACTGATCCACATATATCCGTTGATCTACCTTACTGCTTCGAAGACCTAATCCCTGATAACCTTTTCCCCTGTGATTGGCAGCGGGTCCGGCGTTGCTAGACGTGTTTTTGGTCAGCTCCGTTGTTTCCGTTTTTACGGCATGCTTAGTTGTTCATACACTACACACTTATATTTGGTATGCTTGATACGTATGCCTCGAACTAGCGCAGGACTTCGCAAAACGCGCTTACTTTTCAATAGTGTTGATTTTCTGAACTTGGTCTGACACCAGGCGTCCAGTTTGGTTCGTTTGCTGGATATTCGATGGATGCAGTAGTGTTTGGTGGTGTAGAAAAGGTCAGCCATCGGGACGCCGGCGTTCTTGACCTCGGCGTTGATGACGTACAGCTTGCCCGGCTTACTGATGGGTAACATGGTCTGGAGAAAGGGGAAAGTAAAAGAAAAGGGAGAGAATGAGTGACTATTTCAATTATGACAATTTTAACAATCGAATGACAATTTTTACAGTCGGCGTCCAGCTGGTGTTTGACACGACATGCTAATCCACGCGGCTCGGCCCGTAGGTATACGTGACTTAGACGTTTTGATAGGTGAGACGGTGGAACACATATCGAGTAACGACGCTACAGTAACTACGTGCTACGTACCTGGTCCTCGGTGACTGTTGACGTGGACGTTTTACCCATGACGTCCACCAGGAAGCGGTTCGTTCGGGTTTTGCAGCCGTTTTCGCCCTCTTTCCAATCCGTAGTGGAGACGTCTGCAACCGAGTCAAAATGATTTAAATGACATGCCTTTGACAATAAATGAAGTTTCTGGATTCTTGGGGCGATAGCTGAAGAAATACGGTGCGAGCGACTTTAGCGAGTGTCATTTGAGCGAACGTCATTTGAGCGAACCATTTTCAGCGAATGGCAATTCAGCGATTATCAAGTTCAGCGATTATCAAATATAGCGATTATCAATTTTAGCGAAAGCTATGTTTCAGCGACATCTATTTCGTCGACTACAATTTGAGCGACTGCCAGTTCAGCGAAACACTTCATCGTCCTGTAACGTTCTTTTTTTGCGAGCGTATACGCGCGAATGTTTTCGGAATATCTCATGGTTATCCGGAACTGGATGGCGAATGTCACGTCCAAAGACCTCAGACATTGAGCTCCAAATGTAATGCTACATTTCTTAACAATTCCAACGGTTGAATTTCACCCCCTGCTCTTTATAGAATTTAACAAATAGAATAGTTATATTAAGTTTTGTCCAGACGGTACCTACTCATAGGCGGCGGAACGAAGGGGGGTACCGGGGCACCGTGCCCCCCTTGATTTTGGCATTTTAACATTAGCCCTATGGGCGTTGCATGGAGAGAATGAGACCAAAAGTCGGCGGTGCCCCCCTTAATTGAAGGTGTTCCGCCGCTACTGAACGGTAGCCAATCCATTGTATTTAATTTTGTCTTTACCTCTGGTGGATTACAAACTGTTAGGTGTTATCATGACGTATGATATAAAACAAAAATTTAAAAACGAAACGTTGCAAGATCAATGATTAAACGTTGCGAAATGAGGCCTGATATTTTTGTGGTTTCAGGTTTCCAACAAGATTACTAGAACAAGATAACAGATTTTCAAGATAACAGTCGCGCGCAGCTTGAAGCATAACACAAACCAAACGGGTATTCAAAGGGCAAGAATTTCCGAAAAGTAGAAATTATTGACTTTCGTCGCGTTCGGTTTCGCTGCAACTCTATTCGCTCAATTGGTCTCCCATTGACCACCATATATTCGCTCAATCTGGTTTCGCTGATTCTGGTCCTCGCTTACGTTGATAATCGCTGTGATTGAATTCGCCGACTTGACAATCGCTGAAAAAGTCAATCGCTTAAATTGATAATCGCTGAAAATGTTTCGCTCAAATGTCGTTCGCTGAAATGACGCTCGCTCAGGTGTCGCAGAACCGAAGAAATATACCTTCGTCTTCGACATGCCAGTCATAATCCTTGCAGCGGCATTTGATGACCC